AATAATAATAAAATATAAGAATAAAATAATAAAATATAAATGTTAACTAAGTTAAAAATGCTAATGATGTTAATAACATTGATCATTCATCAATCTTTGTGGCACAGTAGGATTGACTTCATATGGTATCAATGTCTTCAATTACAGGGACCCTTACACAAGTAAGGAAGTGATTAACCAGTAATTAGTAGATTGGGTGACATCTTAAGATACTCTCAAGGTAATTATAGTTGATAATAGACTGTATTGCACTACCGCAGCAACTATTCAATCGAGCTGTCACTTGGGGTAGAGGCCAGGTTCAATTCTTAGGTGAATTTGACAATATGGGTATAACAGTTCTGAGGTTCTATAAGATAAAAAAATGTCTAAGCATTCCCGATCATGTGTAAAATACCCTGATACTGGGTAGAGGTAATAGTATCCAGATATGGTGTTAGTAAAGACAGGGAAAATTATCAACAAAAGTACCTGTGGCTGAAAGTGATCCCTCTATTCAAATTTGACAGTAGTTCTAAGGTCTAATGCCCTGGGGGTACGCTCCTGGAAGGTCGCTTGGGTGGCAATCCTTAGACCAGTATATAGATGTGGATTAGGGCTGATGATTAAAAGTCAGTCAAGATCTTCCCAGAATTGTGCCAGCATATAAGGTTTCGTATGATTCCTTCACCATATATGACCTCTCTGGTATTATCAAATACTGAAAAAAAAAAAAATATTTAATATAAAAAATTATATAAAAAATAATTAATTCATTTAAATCATTCAAGAAGAATGATTGGTTGACCTAAATTTTGTCAGGTCAGGTCAGATCAGGTTGATTTGTTAACTTGATCTGATTTGGAGCTCTAATTAATATAAGATAAAAATTAATAAGTAAATATTATATTTATATTTAAAAAATTACTTAATTTATTATAAAAAGAGATAAAGTTTCTTAAGAAATTAAAATATTAAAATATATGATTTATGAACACTATAAATAGAATAATTTTAATAATAGACGCAGTTTTAATCATTAATAAAAATTATTTTTTATGTAAATTGAATTATTTATTTATTATACTGTAAATAAATATATAATTTATATAATTAAAATTATCAATTTTATTAATAATAATCTAAATATTTTTAGATATTGCTTTAATTATATTTTAAATATTATTAAAATCTTAAGTCATTAAGGATTTATTATATACTTAATAACTAATTTTAATTTAGATCTAACTTATATTTTCATTAAAGTTTTTTTATTTTTATAGTATTATATATAAATTATATGGTTAATACCGTATGCAACAACTTCGTCGCTATCAATCAATCAATTAGTATTTAAGAGGAGAAATGAGATATCAAGCATCTGAAAATAGGCGATTACTTGCTACAGAAATAGCAAGTATAGCCATACACTTCTGAAAATCAAGAATCTTCTTTCTATCTCAAATAGACTTGAACACTTTGAACTATCGCTACTAGACATATCAGGGAAAAGGGTTGCCATTCAGGATCTTATAACCACACTTACGGAGAATATTGGCAAGAGCGCCCACAAAATCGTTTCTGAAAGATTAGTTCTTGAGACATTATAGAGTTGAGTTTCTAGAGAAGGATTGGGGATAAAAGCCAATTTCTATCCGCTATAAGAATACTATCTCATAGCCAAATATTTCTGAGCATGTTGAGAAAGAATTGGATATTTTAGTGCATTTCTTTTTCTCCTCTTCCAAAGCCATTTGCATTGCAAAATATTTTGATATTTCATTTTCTTCAAAAAATCTCATTCGTTACTTTTCTTATTTTATCAAGACGGTTTTGGAAATATTGCTTATGAATGTGTGCTTCACTTGCATTGGAAAAGAATCTCCATAATTTTAATATGTAATGTTTTACCATGTAATATCCAATCACCTTATAATTACACATCTCTGTCGAAATTTTTATAGACTGAAATGTCTTTCGTTAATCTAACTAAAGATTTTTTTTTTTCTGTGTCACTTGATGAATAATTAATAACGATCGCATGTCGAACAAATAATCTATAGAATATTGTGCCCTTAATTCATGACGTTAAGCCATCTATTTAACGCAAAAGCTAGTTATAAACCTATAATTAATTAAAAAAATATTTTTATTAAATGTGAAAAGAAAAAAAAAATAAGAATCATATAGTACTCAAGTATATAGCAGAATCTTTCTCAATACAAAAATGGAAAGCATCAGCCATTTAATCTTTTATTAAATTCGTATACATAATCTCTAATCCTTTCGATCTATATATCAACGTATGTTGTAAAGCTCTTGCGATAAGTGATGGAGATTCGACTATATTCTGAAGCGTCATAATAAATATATAACGTAATGATATTATACCGTTCTTCTCTATGTCAAAAAACGCAGTGGAGCATCATAACATTTTATTATACTAATTCTTTGTATCTGATAAATTAAGGACTCCAATTAATATACAACTATGATTTTCTCTTTTATTTTTTTTATATCCCAACAAATAATTAGAAATAAAGACCATAAGATGAAAGCATATCAACTAGACTACAGCTGCTTTAATCTGATGCTTGTTTTATGAAATTCTTCAACGATGGCTATTTTCGTACATAAAAGAAATGTGAGTGGACTTGAATTTTTGACAGTTAATATGTGTATATTTGCATAAAGTTCCAAGTTGATATCAAAAACATTGCATGGTTTTAATCTTCATCTGCTCTGAATGGTCGTTCGTGATGCTTAACCTTTAAAATGATATATACCGGTATTTTAAAAAAAACCCCCAAAAATTTGCAATATTCTAATTCGCAAAAAAAACAAAAATTACTACCTACTAAAGGCATCTAATTCACGAGAAGTAATTGCTGCTAATATGGTTTTAAATAATTTTGAGTGTGATGTAATGCTTCGTAATCTATTTTCTAAACCTTAATAAACTTGTTTAGTGTTGTTGCAACAATTACTAAATAAAATGAATAAGAGATATCAGATCCACGGATTTTTGAAAGGTAAGTATGTTAAAGTTAATATTCCAAATTATTACTTAATATTGTATGACAACAAAAATCCACGTGTTCATTCGAGTCAAATTAAATATTTGAAATTTAAATTAAAATACTAACCGTGACATCGCTTGGCATGGTGTGAAACGTGCATCATGCCTTTGGGTTTGAGTTCTGGCTGCCTCACGAAAAAAAATAATTGTTTATCGTTTTAATGATTTTATTAAGTCATGATATATGTATATGATTTTAAGACGTCATACGTGTTTTTGCAAAAAAAGTTTGAAAATAGATTTAATACAGCAATATTTCAATATAAATAATAAATTCATTATATTTTTTTATTGAAACGGATTTAACATTTTTGAAAATTAATGGAAAAATAACTATTTATTGAAAGTATATATATCAGAAATTAATTAATTAATCATTATGTTTCGTTTGGAAATATGCGCTTGCCCCAAATGTGCATTTGTCCCATAAAATATATATAGATAAAATGTGCAATACTCCTGCCGGATTAAAAGATAAAAGAAGAATAAATTAAAATTAAAATTAAAATTATTTATAATTTTTTAGAAAAATTATATAATTATATTATAAAAAAAATGATTAAAGCTTTAATCTTACTAAAACAATGCATTTGTAATAAAAATAAGAAAAAATACAAAATCAAAGTAAAGACAATGCATTTGTAAAAATAATGACTTGTACAATTTTGCCAATGACGGTCATTGAATAAGGATTAAAACCAAAATGAACTTCTATGAAGCTTTTTTGTGTTAAATATAAAAAATTTATATTTAACGTTTATTTTGTTAAATTTGCCAATTACTTTTATATTTCAGTTTTCAGACCAATGTCAAACCAACTATTTTTTAATATTCTTTTTATTTTTTTTTTTTAAAAAAAAAATTATTTGTATTTTATATAAAATACTTTTTTTAAATACTTTTATTTACATTTATATTATTTTTATTAAATTAGTTTTTTATAAATTAATAAATATTTATAAATTAAACATGTTTGTTTTCTCAATATGACATTAAATTTTATCTTTTTTATTCGATTCGTATTAATTAGAATTGCAAAAAAATTATTCATTCGTTTATTATAATACTTTCGATAAAAATAATCTGAAATGGCATTGAAATCTCGAAGATTAATTCACTGTTAACCACGTAATAATGTTGTCTGAAACCCAAAGTTCCAGGTAATTTTTTTTATAGTTTTTTTATGTGTGGAGGATTATTTGATGCGCTGATAAAAAGGCGAAAAAGTTTTTTTTTTTAAAAAAAAAAAAACATTCAAACCTCCCATATTTTAAAATAAATTACATGCAAGCGAAAAAAAATGTTTAAATTATATGTCGAAAACACGTGATAAGAAAGTAAAAAAAATAAAATGGTGTATTATTATTAATTCTTTACATCATACTTTGCGTGTTAGGGTGGGTGCTATTAAGCCCAATTTACAATCTCGTCAATCAGATATAATTTTTACAAAGTATATTCTCATTTCATGTCTTCTATCGAATGAATTTTACATTGGATAAATGGAATTAACGTTCAACCAATTCAATCCAATCGATCTATCTAAATCAACTACTCCACCATCAATTTCATTTAGATGTGATTATAATCGGAATTCGTTAATTTACCTGTTTGACATAATATACCATGGGTTTCTCGTAATGAGACCAATAGTTTCGTTTGTTATATTAAAATTGAAACTTTGAAACTTTTCTCAATAATACCAAGTTTCTCGATTGGTAGAAGTACATGTGGGAGAGTTATTTGAAGATGACGTTATTGTGGATATATTTGTGGAATTATAATCTATAAGAAATATATATATCTAATACGATCTAATACTATTAGAATGAGATATCTCGCATGCTTCTACGGTCTCTGGAATCCAGAGCAAGACTTATCCCATTAAGATTCTTGTATACTTTCAATAGTACGAACTGTTCTTCATTTAAAGTGAGAACACATGTATTTTCGATTTGAGTACTATCTTCAGTTCCAAAAGGAGTGCACGACGGTAGTTTAATTCGACAATAAAACCAAAAAAAAAATTAGTTGATCGGTAACATGACATTGGTAATTAAAATTTGAATCGAACAATCAAAATAGAAAAAAATTTATTGAGGAAGATGCAGTGAGGTTTCCAAATTGTTATTTGCTTTTTAACATAAATACCCTTTAGCGGGTTATGATTATCTGAAAATTTGATATGATTTATTGGCTTTTTTTGGAACACAAGCAATAATTAACTTTTACAAAATATTTCTCACGATTATTTTTTAAAAAAAAAAATTTAAGAAACTCGGCGAATTAAATGCCGATCACGTGAATTTCGTGACGTCATATACATGAGGCCACACGACCAATCATTTGTTTTTTCAAACATTTTCCCACGAACAATATATATTTATCGCAAATTTTCAAACTAATAT